CGATGGAGAAAAATAAAGGGAGGTGAAGGGAATTTTTTTGCGTTTTTCTAGCCCTAGGTTCGTCCCCAGGAGGGGGAGAATGAAAGAAAAAAGAAGAAAACGAGTTTTTGGGGTTCTTATATCATTCTGGGACTTGCAGGGGGCCTTAGCGCCGCTAAGGTGCCTTAGCCGTTCAAGCCAGTACCGTGTAGCGCCGCTATCCTGTGTGCCTTAGCGGCGCTAAGGTTCTGGGCAGCCTGCTGGACTTTGCTTTTCGGGCTCGTTTGGGCTCGTTTGAAATCGGAATTGAGTTCCGTTTTTTCCTACACGCAGCTAACGAACCCCTCTATCTAACTATGTAATCCCAGCACATATTTTCCTGAAAACTTGTCCTCCCAAAGCTTCCGACCTGCACATAAAAAATGAAAGAAAAATGAAAGAAACAGGAAAAGCACACGAAAAACACAAAAATACTCACAAAGATGCGAAACACGAAATAAACGACAAAATGACTCTAAAACCACACAAATGACTCAAAATGGGGGAAAAAGAACGAGAAAATAGACACGAAAAACGTAACAAAAATGGGACAAATACTTAGATTTGGCATGCTTATGTGGTGAGTCAATCTAGTTTTAGTTTTTTTTTTGTGTCTTGTGAGTATGGATATTGGTGAATTTTAAGTTTTTTTGATATTTGTTTATGAAGTTGAGGAGATGTGATGTTGATTATGATGGCATATTTTGAAGAACTTGATTGGTTGTTTTGATTGGGTATTATTTGCTTTGTGAGGTTTGAACCTTATTCTGTTTCCGTGAAATATGGTCGGAATCATTGTTGATCAGAACTTGCTTTGAGTCTGTTTTGAAATGAAGTGATTGAAGTTGTGATTTGTGAAAATGATTGAGGCATCTACTCCGGTTACTTGTGGAATTTTTCACGAGTAATGAGTATTGGGAAAGCACTCTAGGAAACTTGGATGACCTCCAATGTTTAAACCTAGAGAATGTCGTCCTTACGTCTCAGTCTTGTTAGGAAAAAGCATACTCTCTTAAAAAAAAATAAAAAAAAAATAAAAGAAGAAGAAAGTCAGGTACTTTATTTGCAATCTTTGTTGAGCATGTGTGAATGTATATGGAGCTTTGGTTGGGAGTGATTAGCTTTGTGTTGATTATGGATGGGTGGCGAGATATTCGAGTAGTTATGTGCTCGAGAGTATAATTGGTCGTTCTAGCCATTTTATCTTTATATTTGACCTTCCCTCAGCCAAGTGCCTTCTTTATACCCGTGAAGTCCTCTTAATTCGCAAATTCATGTGCTTTGGTTGTTTAGAGTATGAACTAGACGATAAGCAAGCCTATGTTGAAACTTGATTGCCGACCAATTTGAGCGTTCCCATTTCATATTTATGTAAGAAACTGAGTGAGACATTATACATGATATTTCCGTGTTTGAGAGTTTGTCTTGTCAATGCGTACCATTTAAGTTGTAATTGAGATGTGTTTTATTGGTCTTTTGAAATATCCTCGGCTAAGTCAACGAATTTGAAACTTTTCTTATTGGAAGCCGATATCCATGCTCGTGTCTTGTTTTCTTTTCTTTTGTTTCTGTTCGGGACGAACAAAAGTTTAAGTGTGGGGGAGTTGTTTGTCCCATTTTTGTTACGTTTTTCGTGTCTATTTCCTCGTTCTTTTTCCCCCATTTTGAGTCATTTGTGTGGTTTTAGAGTCGTTTTGTCGTTTATTTCGTGTTTCGCATCTTTGTGAGTATTTCTGTGTTTTTCGTGTGCTTTTCCGATTTCCTTCATTTTTCTTTCATTTTTGGTGTGCAGGTCGGAAGCTTTGAGAGGACAAGTTTTCAGGAAAATATGTGCTGGGATTACATAGTTAGATAGAGGGGTTCGTTAGCTACGCGTAGGAAAAAACGGAACTCAATTCCGAGTTCAAACGAGCCCAAACGAGCCCGAAAAGCAAAGTCCAGCAGGCTGCCCAGAACCTTAGCGCCGCTAAGGCACCTTAGCGGCGCTAAGGCACACAGGATAGCGGCGCTACACGGTACTGGCTTGAACGGCTAAGGCACCTTAGTGTCGCTAACCCCCCTTAGCGGCACTAAGCCCCCCTGCAAGTCCCAGAATGATATAAGAACCCCAAAAACTCGTTTTCTTCTTTTTTCTTTCATTCTCCCCCTCCTGGGGACGAACCTAGGGCTAGAAAAATGCAAAAAAATTCCCTTCGCCTCCCTTTATTTTTCTCCATCGTTTTTCCTCCTCTTTCCATCTTTCTTTTCCATTTCTCCTCTTCTTCTTTTCTACATCTAAGGATTAAGCTTGTATTTCGAATTCAACTTTGGAACTTGGATTGATTGTAAGTACTCATTTCTCTTATTTGATTCATGAATAATGGTTATTTGAGAAGGATGATTATGATTGTTGAATTTGATATTCGTAGCTAAATCTAATTGCTAGGGATAGGGGATGATTATTCTTGTTTAACGTGCATTTGTCGGGCTCAAGATTGTTCATGCTTATGTGAGTTGAATTGATTAGGAATTGATGAAATTGTGCTTGGTAGTTTGATGTAATCGAAGGGTGACACTTCGATCGTGCAGTTGGTAACAAGTGGATATTGAGTTGTCGAGTTTGGTTTTGTTGATTCCAATGATTAGTTGACTAAATATCTTCTAATTAAATTAGCGACTTTTTGAACCGAAGGGGGCGAAGTCGTAGACCTAGGCTTGCATGAGATAGATTATTTCGTAACTGAGTAATCTATGGGTTTAGATTGAAATACGTGCTTGTCGATGTCCCGTCCCTTGTTACGAAAAGTTATTGGGATTGGGATAATTGGCTTGTGTTGTATGCTCGAGCTTGTTGGTCCATGTTCAATCCCTTGTTACGAAGAGTTATTGGGAGCGAACCTCTAGATGTTTAAACGAGAGTGTCAATCTCGAACCGAACGATTAATTGCCCGGCTTTGCTAGAACTTGAATTAATTATCCCCGATTTCCTAGTTTCTCCATCTTTGTTCTATCCACATTCTTAGGTAGATTAATTGTTTTTATTTTATTTCTTAGTTGATAATTATTCGACCCTCATTTTGATTAGATGTCTGAAAATTAGATAGACATACTCTAAAATCCAGAATGAGCACGTGAAATTATGATTTGGAGAGGGGGCATTTTTTTGTAAATTAGATAATTGAAAAGGACTTGTTTGCAATATAGAAAAATTCAACCACTACATGTATTAAATATTACAATTTAATAGATGTTGGTGGGTTGGTGGGTTGAGATTTCAAGACTTAAATATGGCTTTATAGGAATTTAATTTAAAATATCATATATAATGTTATTTATATACTATAGTTGTATATAAATTATGTATTTTGAAAAGCAATTAAAATAAAATATAAATAAAAAATGTAAATATTAAATATATTTTTATTATATAAATAATTTGATAAACCCATAAGAATGTTATTGAAATAAACATTATTAAAGTTTTTTTAAAATTGAAATGCACATTAGTTTTAGGCTTCAATTGGGTAGGGCGAAAAATTCATTCCGTCCACACAGCTCAATAGCACTGAAAACCATGCCCAATAGTTTTTGACAAATTGCACATTAATGATTGACATGTTGCACTTTTGTGCATTGAGATCGCACTTTATCATAATAAATGTACAAATACAAAATATATTTTTTCGGGTCGAGATCTTCATATGTCGGCCCGATTATTTAGCGTAACAAATGTAATTACTGTCGGGATGCACAATATCAGCCAAAATTGACAAAACCAAAATTTTCGATTCGAGATTTTTATATGTCGTCCGATTATTTGTTTTTACTTTTAAACTTTAGTTATATCAATTCAAATATCATGTCGACTTTATTTTTTAATTTATGTTTATATATATTATATCTTTTTAACCAAGAATGATATAAATATTGAATATAAAATTATAAATACCAAATATATTGTCATAGAAATTAGCTGCACTTCGAGTGCACATTACTGTTAGACATATTGCAAATTAATGATTATCATATTGCACTATAGCGACCCAACTATACAAACAAACACTATTTTGTTATGTATATACTTTAGGTATTTACAACAAAAAATAATATAAAATGTTAAAGAAATATATTAAGAATACTAAATATATTTTTATAATCTAAATCCTAAATTATTTTGTTTATAGGTTATTTCGGTTAACTGGTCAAATAAACCGATTATTTCGATTTTAACTTGGTTGGTGACAAATGGTTAAAAAAATGTTTGTACTTTGAATGCACACTTGTGTTAGACACAGTGCACATTAGTGATTTTCAAAGACTCAAATTGCACTATAGCGACCAAACCGACCGAATTATAGAAACGAATATTCTTCTGTTACATATGTCTTTTAGGTCTTTACAATCGAAAATAATATAAAAAGATTAAATAAAAATATTGAAATACTAAATATATTTTTATAATATAAATTATTTTGAATATTTAGATTAATTCGGTTAACTGGATAAATAAATTATGTTGGTATGAGATAAATCATTAAAAAATAATTACACCTCGAGTGCACATTAGTGGTAGACGTGTTGCACATTATTGACTGTCAGATTGCACTCTGGATTGAAAATCGGCCTAACTAAATTTGTTGGTTCGAATTATATATTTTGATGTAATATTTATTTTTTAAAATAACCGGACCGATGGATCTCAATTTTTTAGATTAAAGTTTTATATTTCAGTTCAATTATATATTTTTAAATTTTTAAATCTCGGTTATAATGTGCATTTATTATGCAATATTATTAAAAGTCTTTATCATTATTGAACATTTGGTATACTTTTTATAAATTATAAAACCCATGGATTAAATTGAAGTTTAATAAAATTCCATAAATTTCAATCAAATCCCTTGAATATGTCAAATTCTCAACTAAATTCCCACCACTTGAATCAATACCAGACGGCGCCACAATCCCTTAGCCGGCAGCCGCTTGACCTCCCCGTCGACTGGTCAAATGCTGCCTAGACGGACATGGCCCTGAGACATTGAACTTAAATCCGTGACGGATGTACGGGGTTGTAAAGGGCGATCGGAACAGGAACCACCGGTCAAGCTCGCGTACGCCATTGAACACCGAATAGATCCCGGCGGTGTTAGCGTCGGCATCGGCGGCGGCCTGAAACCTGACACCGTCTCCGATGGAGGCGAGTTCGGAGGCATCAAGGTTGAAACCTCAAGACTGCAATATTCCGGCGCCGTCGCCGATGGAGACGATTGCGGCGTCTGGGGGCAACGTGTGACATCCGGTGTCGAGTTCGTTGGCAGTGTTAGCTGTCGATCCGGTGGCCACGGCTCTGTGTGTGAATAAGTGTGTGTTTGGTGTGTGTATTTCGCGAACTCTGTAGCTCGGAGACGGTGGGTAGGGGAGGTGATGGGGTGTGAGGTGTATAAAATAATTATTATATAGGTGGGTCCCACTGGATGTTGGTATTATTTATAATGACAAGTTTATCCCTAATTAGTAGTCAAATGTTAATATTTGACCACAATATGTTAACTTATTTACTTCATTGCCATTACAGGTTTGACTGTTATTAGTTAATTTTGACTTGATCATGGTCATTGATATATTAGATCTAATGGTACAGAAACATTCTTATTTCTTTCACTATCTCTATTTCTCATATGATCCCTTCTCTATATATATAATTGCTGGGAAGCTTCAATAAACTTTATTCAGCCAACAAATAATAATAATATGAGTTCATTTAATAAAAATAGGTGTTCATTTAATAAAAATATGTCCACCATTTAATAAAAACTATGTAACTTTCAGTTACACAATTTATTTTGATAGGTCCCATTTTGGATGGTGCTCATTTCTAAAACGTATTTTTATGTCATGGAATACAAAATGGTTTTGTTTTTATTTTAATACTATATATTTTTTGGTATTATAAAAATACATATTTCACAATTAATTAAGAATGACTACAAATATCTCTATTTTTTATTGCAGTCATACAATAACAAAAAAAATATTTTTTTAGATATTACAAAGATATATGAAAATCAAATCCCAGAGTCACGAGTAGAAGGGGTTTAACGACAATGATTTGTTGTGATAAGAATTTTGACGATAGGAAAACCACAAATGTTGTATATCAAGAGGTGTTTAATAATATTTAGATTCATTTTTTTAAAATTATTTCTTTTCTCATTTATTAAGTTATGATTTTTATTTTAATCTATATTTTTAATTACTTTATCTTCTATTATATCGTTTTTCGTGCAAATGCACGGGGTAAAACTAGTATCATTGATTACCAAAAAAATATCTTGTCAATCATATTATCATATACATTTTTTTTTTGGAAAACTAATTATAGCTCGAGCACCCTTTAAATCTTACCTCCACTCCTGTATGTTGTATTATTTTTTAATAGATTTATATATTTTTATATTACATATTATACTTATTAAATAACTTAAACTAAGTGTGATATTTTTTAATTTAAATATATATTTTTAATAAAATAATAATGTAAATAACTTAATATACATTTGTTTAAATATACATTTGGTTAATAAAATGTGATTGACTAAGGTTAGTTTGTCACACCAACGGGAAATGTGTGATTTGAAAGACTTGTTTTCCACGTTGAGGGAAAAGTTTGAATTTTAGGAGCTGCAGGTGAGGTGGCGCGTAACATTGACGACCAAATACACGGAATTCCATTTCTTCATTTCCCAGTTTGTTTGTGCTCCAAACCTCATATCTTCACAATTCACATTTCACACCCATCTTCGCAGCTCCATACCCATCTTCTTCATACGCTCTAATCGCGTTTTCCATACGCATTAGCTTCAGTTTATTCATATTCGTCTTGCATTTCTAGAAACCTCCAAAAATTCGCACATTTTTCTTTTTAATCTTCAATTGCCATTGTTCGGCGCAAGAAGATAGATTCGCTTCAGTTCTGTTCCAGGAAACGCAATGGATGAAGTCCGAGATAAAATGAAGGGTTTCATGAACAAAATCACCAATCCGTTCTCGAATTCACCATCGGGCAAATTCAAGGGCTAAGGCAGAGTGTTGGGATCCTCGTCGTCTTCTTCAGCCACTCAGTACCACCATCCATTATCATCGCCGTCGTCCTTGGTTAATCACAAACCTTTGCCCGCCAAGCCTCCGGCGCCAAAGGTTAGAGATAATATCGCTCCTCATCCGAAATCGCAAGTCAGGAACCCCGAGAAGCCAGCAAACTCGAAAAAACGCGACATGTCTGAAAAAGGGTTCGATCCCTTCAGTTCACTGATTACTTCCAGTAGGAGGAACCCTAATGGGTATTCTCTGCAAGTGTTTGAGTGTCCGGTCTGTGGTAAGGCGTACACATCTGAGAAGCAAATTTCTATCCATATTGACTCTTGTTTGAATGCAGCGGACTCTGGAAATGAGTTTGGCACTAAAGAATCGGATGAGATTATGAATCAACTGGAGACCAGTGTTGGTTCTTATGTATCTGGGAAGCCTAGTGATGGTTCGAAGGAGATTGTGTTGATACTTTTGAAGAATGTGGTGAAAGACCCTGCAAATGCAAAGTTCAGGAAGATAATAATTGGGAATCCAAAGATAAAGGAGGCAGTTGGGGATGTTCCTGGGGGGATAGAGTTGCTAGAGTGTGTGGGGTTCAATCTTACAGAGGAAAATGGGGAAATGTGGCTTAGGTTGGTTAAAACTGTGATATCATTGCTCGAGACGATAAGGTTAAGGAGTTGCCGCAGATTGTTCCGGCTAAGATTGAGGAAGAACCTATTGAACCAAAGCAAGTTGACCGACAGGTATATAATTTGGACTAATTATTGATAATGCTGAGTCTTGGGTAGTTGTTTATTTGGTTACCCTTTGCAATCTATTGTTTGCTATTATAATTTGTATCATGAGTTTCTTGTGTTTAAAGATATTTCAGGTGCGTCTTTTTCTTCCTTTTCTTGTTTATTTATTTCTTGTTATTATTGTTGATTGGTTGCTTTTAGGTGGATAAGGATCAAATGACTGCAGATTGGAATATTGTGTGGGTGCAGAGCCCGTCTTGTGTAAATGTGATTAATGTTTGTGGAAGATGCATACTGATGCTTATAGTTTTTCTTTGTTCTATAAACAGCACATTGGTAATCTGCAAAAGTACAACATAATAGGTCCAAAGGGTAGTGAATCAACTTCGAAGTTCTTTGTTCATTACTGGACACATTATAGAGCTAATTGATTGTCATTGTTTTCATTTATTACGTAGCTAACTGGGAAACTGCTGTATAATTTCCCTTTTTTTTTTTATCGAATGGTGAGCTTGATAAGGGTGTCCTTTTCATGGTTTAGCAGACACATCCATGACATATGCATCTAAATTTTCCTGTACCTGCCTTTCCTTTTTTCCACTGCCAAGTGTTTTTTTTCCTTGTATTATTCAATTCTCTTTGTATTTAAGTGAGGATAGTGTTTGAAGAAACAGGAAAAATAGTTCTAAGTGCGATTGTATATGATGAAAGCTAACAAAAATAGTCTATGCAATGGTCTTCTTAGATAAAATGGCGATCAGATGTGATTGGTGAATAGAAAAAGTAATGAGTGAATTGTTGTGAGCTGAAAGTGTATTATAGTTGCTGTGATGTGTCTTTTAGTGGATTTTTGATTAAGTAACATCGACTGTTGAAAAATATCAGACTGATTTTTAGTAGTGTTTTTATGGGAAAAAGTTCTTAAGTAATTGGTTATTCTGGAAAAGGGACTCTTTGTAAGATGGCATTCACTGAAGCCCCCATTAGCTAGTACCCTTAATTTTTTTTTTCTTAGTTTGCTTTTTTACCTTTCGAAAGAGACGCATTCACTGTATTTAAAAAGTAAAAACATTAATCTACATCTTGGATTCTCCACTCCAACTTTTTTTACGCAACTGTTGGTAGCCTTTATGTTTGAATTTAAAAACGTGAATCTATTAGGGTCATGTAACATAGCATGGCCTTGCTTTTTTCTTATCTAAAGGATTAGAAGAATGATCAGAAGAATCACCCTGCACGTTCTTCAAAAGTTTAAGGTTCTGTATTGAGAAAAGCTTGCTTACATATAAATGGGAAAATTATAGGAACATATGATGCCTTGTTGTTGCATCATCTTGTTACTTTTGATTTAAAAATCTCATGAATTCTTTGGATCTGATTTAATTTGGTTAGATCTTATTTGACGGATAAGTATCAAAACGGGTTGCGTGAAAGTATTTTAAAACACCAGAGCAGTCTCATCATGTTGCACGATAGTTTCCGCAAGTTGTGAAATTCATAAGAATGCCTATTAGATGAAAGTGGCTGTTGATGCTCACGGACAGCTCATGAATGATATAAATTGACATATTCCTAAAAATAGAATTTTTAAGAGGCTAGTTAACTATGATTTTGAACATCAGAACTCTGCTACTCCTAATGGCTTAAGAGAAGTCAAATGTATATATACTTCACAATGTGAGATTGTATACATAAAAGTTGAAGTTTTGTATTTTTATCCTTTTCAGTTCCGGATAATTGGCTAGTATTTACTATTTTCGGCATTGGTTTAATTTCAATTGGGACCCCTCTCCAAACAAATGTTTNAGTTCGAGTTTTCTCTGCTCTTCATGAGAGTGTTGCTGCAAAAATTGAGCTGCCTGATTCTTTCTATAACCTTACTGCTGAAGAACTGAAAAGGGAAACCGATGATAGAAAGAATAAGATAGAAGAATCTAAGCTTTTAATTCCTAAGTCCTACAAAGAAAAGCGGTACAAGAAGACTGTCATTAGATAGCAGTTTCCTGATGGAGTTGTACTTCAAGCTATCTTTTCACCATCTGAGTCTACTGGAGCTCTATATGAGGTTAGTCTCTTGATTTGTATACAGATGTAATTGTAGCGAGTCTTTATTAGTAATTTAATCCAATTCAAATATTTGTGGCTCATGTTTAATCTGATTAAAAATTAAATTGTTATGCTAATCAAATGGTTATTAATGTGAAGCGAGAACAACGCACCCAATGATGGCATAGGCGATAAAAATCGAAAAAATGTGTTGTATACTAATGTTATTATTTGTAAGAAAATCAATATAAAAGGTAACAGATCATATCAAACAAGGCAAAAACGCCGAGTCTTTGAGTAATAACTGTGATTGGATTGTTGGTACCGTGAAAATTGAATGGCCTTCCTCATTTGGTTTTATTTGAACACTAGTAATTCCCAAAAATTTCTTGCTCTTATCTATTAATATATAATACGGTTAAGAAAAATTGTTCAAAAAACTCTAAAAAAATTATTTCGTTTTCCCGCTTTTTTTAAAGTCATTTCACTCTTTTATATTTGGTTTTTTACCAAAATCTTTCGGTTGTAATTTTTTGAAAAATTCGAATTTTTAGACTCTGCCATGCATTTCCAGTTTTTTGTGCCATGCAATTCTTATTTAACGAATATAATATCTACAACATGATTTGGTTTCAAATTTTTTCGGTTTGATTTCCCCTTTTTTTGCCATGGATTTCCCTTATCTACAACATGATTAGATTTCAAATCTTTTCAGTTCACATTACAATCCGATTTTAATTCGGGATTCAAAATTTGATTAGATTTTTTTTAAATATGTAAAAAAAAAGAGAATCCCCCCTATATATATATATATTAACAAATATGTGAAGAGTTGAATTTTAAATTCAATTTAATATTAACAAATGTATATTTTATGTAAATAACATTTAATAAAAAAACAAAATTAAAAGATTGTGTGGTAACATTTTTCGAAATAAATAAATTATGGGAAGGTGATTTTGTTACCAAAAAAATCAAAGAATTTTGTTTGGGTTCAAATTTTGAATACGTGTATGATTAGTTATAGATAAATGAATCCAACATATTCTAACTTCCAAAAAATATGGAAACATATTTCCTTATTTAAAAATTTAAATTCAAAAATGTGAGGAGTTGAATTTTAGATTCAATTTAAAATTAACCACTAATGTATATCTTATGTAAATAAAACATAATAAGAAAAAAAAAATTGTGTGGTAACATTTTTCGAAAAGTGGGAGGAGTTGACTTTTAGATTTAATTTAAAATTAACCAATGTATATCTTATGTAAATAAAATTTAATAAAAACAACAAAAATAGAAAAAATGTGTGGTAACATTTTGGAAATCTATTACTATATATTACGACTAAGAAAAATTGTTCAAAAAACTCGAAAAAAATTATCTCATTTTCCCGCTTCATATTCCCGCTTTTTTTTCGTTTTATTACTTTATTCGGTAAAGTTTTTTTATTTTTTTTCATAATCCCGCCTACATTTCAATTGTAATTTATTTGGACGTATATCATAATCCTTTTTTTTTTTTCGATTTGGTAGGAATCGGATATTTCTTTTTTTTTGGAAGGGAGTTGATATAAATCGGATAACATCAATTTAAATTAATTAATTACGAAATTTCATTTCTTTTTTTTTTTCAAATCCGATTTATATTATATAGATAGATTTCACTTCCTTTTTTTGTAAGCGATTACCTTTTTTTTTGTAAGCGATTGTTTCAATTAAACGTGCACTGCGATCGGGTTGACCGAATTAAACAATTTTGAATAATATTAAATTATTTGATTACTATTAAATTAATTTTATTTGATTTTCACGTCTAAAATTTTTCAAAATACTATTTTTATATTTTTATTTTTGTAGAAAATGGCGGTTGGATGAAAAAGTCAAATTCAAATTAAAAAAAAAAAAATTGTTATTTTGAAAAGGATATTTTGTAAACCTTAATTCATAAAAATATGGTCAATGATATCTTTAAATACAATGGGTAAATATGGTCAATGATATCATAAATTATATTTTATATTCGGAAAGTTCAACTTAATTGATGATTTTGTTTGTTAATATTTCCTTAACTACAAAATATTTTAAAGTTTATAAAGAATCTCATTTTATGTGAGTTCTTGGTACTTTTTTTTGTACATATTCAGTTTTCATCCCATATCCAAATACAAATATAAATGCGGATCTTAAATGTATCATGTTTATTAGAAATATATGTATATTTTTTCAAAAAGTATGACGATCATATAATTAATTTTATCATGTATCATATGTTGGATGTTATTAGTTTGGTTGGGGACACTCATTATATTCAAATAAATAATATATAATTTTTCATATTTGGTATTTCTTTTCTTATAATAATGAGATGTTAAACATAAATAACTATGTTTAATATAAAGTCTTAGAAAAGGTTTTAAGTAAAAGGCCCGTCCGTGCAGCGCACGGGATACACACTAGTATGTGAACTATGAGATGACTACGGTTTTATACCTTAAATTACTGCAAACGGTGGCACAGATAATTTGTTTGAAGTTATTATTGCTGTACAAATTTCACAAGAGTTAAAGAGGTTAAGGTGCTTTTCGGCACCAATCATATATGCAGAGATATATTTCCATCACCTTGGCACTCCTCTAACTTTATTGTGAATACTTTCATATACCTATCAACTAAGAAGTTTATATTTCAGCTTCTACAACCTTCATTGCACTTGAATTCTTTTTGTTTTTCTTGATTTCACTATTTTGTCCTATTTAATTATGAACCTATTTACTGTTAATTTTTTTAAAATATGTGAACAGTTAAACTATACTTATTTTGCCCCAAGTCATTTTATGAATACCGAAATTTTACTTTTGATTCATAGCTCAAAAGTCTAAGTACCTCGTAAATTTGGGGAAAAAGTTGGTTAATGCATGCCACTCAAGCGATTCTTAAAAAATCACAATGTTCTTCACTAATATTATGTTCTGTGGGTTTCCCTGGACCTTAATTCTAGAAATTCATTATTTTTTCTGTATGTACTTAAATATCTTGGCGCAATATTGTCTTGTAAAAATCAAAGCTGTCTAGGAAAATATGACTTTGTTATGGCATGATTATGCAACCTCAATAGGTGTATGGATTTTGATGTCCCTCTGAATCTAGTACTCTAATATCAACTAAAGGAACTCTAAGGTTGACAATGATAGAATCCCCAATAGAAGATTTTAAATTGCTTAATAGTATTATGAATCTTTAAGTGGAATTAGTTATTATAGAAGATATGATTCAGGTTCTTCTACACCTTAAATTTGTCATAGAATTTCTCGTTTCCGCAGTTACAACCTTTTTTGTTCTGTTATCAGTTGTTAATGAGGAAATTATAAAATTAGCTATACATGAAATCTAATTATCTTCTCCAGCATCTTCTTTTGTCCGTCACCAAATTCGTTGTAAGAAACAGAAATGACTTTGTATGTATATCTTCTTGATCACATATTTTACATCCAACAATATTTGAGGTATCTCACGAAAATCTAAATATTTATCTTTCTCTAACATGTTACTCTAAACGTTTTCATTTTGTTAGTTTGTGAGCAATGCACTGAAAGACCCAAGCCTAGAGTTCAGCCTCCAACATACGGATTTAGTCAAGCACCAGTTGATCCCTCGTTTTCCAGCAAACGCAGGAAAAGCACCAACACTCGAGGACGAGGATTTGGTGCCAGCAGCCCTTATTAAGTTCAGACTAATCGAGGCAGATGAAATTGTTTTTACAGGACTATGTAATGAACTTCTTCTAATCAGTTAACCTTTTGTGTCGGGTTCGACTGTTCCTTCATCTTAACCTGAATTTGGGTTCTGAGTCCATCCTTTGGAATGTGAAAATTTTACAAATAATCGACTCATGTTTTAGAATTTTTGATATATGTAGTTGACATTTCACAATCAGGGCAGAAAATATTGTCGTGCGTCCGTTTTGTCACAGTACACATTTTTCTCCATGTGTGGTATGGTTAAAACTCAGTTTGTACAGATGAGTTTGGCTTGGGGTTGTTTGATAGTATCAAATCTTTTATCTGTTGCGCGTCTTTACTTGTCTTTTTTATACATCTGTTTTCATCCAGATTTACAATGACATTGCACAAATTACATCATTCTAAGGCCATCTCCAACCGAATATCCCATACTCAAACCCATTTTGCAGTACATATCCTATTTTGCAATAATTCATCTCCAACCGAAAAACTCATTCTCCAACCCAAAAGAATATTCTTGGAATATTCTCTTTTACATCAACTTTTACAACTTTTCAATACTATCCACATATTTTACAACTTTACAAACTAAACCACACTATTATTTTCAATTCAATTTAGACTTTATGTAATAAACTAATTATAAAGTAATAATCATATACATAATAAAATCGGAGAAATAAATAGTCATTAAAAATTAAAATTTAAAAATTTTAACAGATAATATAATATTAAAAATTACAACGCACAAGATGATAAATTGACAATTACAACACATAAGATAAAATTAAAAATTACAACACACAAGATGTAATATTAATGTCTTTTTTATTTGTTAAATTTGTAGTCTTTTTAATATTAATATGGTTTGTAACTTTTTTTTTAAATACTAATAATATATAATAAAAACGAATAAACAATATTTAACTTAACAATAATTACTAAATATATTTACTAAATATAATATATATATATATATATAATTACTACAATGTGTAAAATTTAACTTATAAAAGATAAAACATAATTATTATATACAATATATATAAGAGGTGGGGTATATGGGGATAGTGTTACAAAAAAAAGGGCTTGGATGCAATTTGAAAAAGTACAATCGCATATTTTGCGATCAGACGCAAAATTGCGTCGAAAGAGAGGAAAGAGAGGGTGGAAACGCATTTTTCAGTTGCCTTTGCGGTATGCTTGGAGCAAATTGAACTGCAAAAATTGCATTTTGCAGTTCCATTGGAGAAGGTCTAAATATTCAAAATTAATAGGAATTTTTGTAGTGGAAACTAAAAAGTAACGGTTTTGGAGTATGGAAAGTCTGTCATTTAGGTATAATATATTAGGTAAAATTTAATAGGTAAAATTAAATGTTCAGCTAGCAATTATAGATAATGAGAAATGCTACAAGTACATAAAAATCAAGTGAACCCCACTCCATGTGAGTGTTATGTACATCTCTATGTACAGTTATTATGTACTTGTAACATTTTTCTTATGGATGAGATATATAGATTATATATTGTAACGTTTTAATTCATGATTGAATGAATACAAATAAAAACTCACACATATCACATTGGATTTCTTACTGTTTGAACTATATTTATTATATTTAAATTAAATATATAATGATGCATATTTAGTTAATTCATGATGCATGTTTAATTTATCCATAGTGCACATTTGTTATATTTAAATTAAATATATATTATGCATATTTAGTTCATTGATGATGCATATTTACTTAACACGAAATCCATATTTAGTTCAGCCATAATGCATATCTATTATATTTAAATTAAATATATACATGTACATATTTAATTCATTCATGATGCATATTTAGTTCATACGAGATGTATATTTAGTTTATCCATAGTGCATACTCCCTCCTATTCATAGTAAGTGTCGTTCTGAGAAGTTGCACAATAATTAAGAATTTTTTCTTTTGTCAATAATAACCTTCATTAATGAAGATAGAGATGAATGTTTTGAGAAAAGATGAAGAGTAAATATGAAAAGACGTAGTGTATTTATTAGTTAAATGAGGGTAATAATGGAAAAACATGTACAAAAAATCCAAAACGACATTGATTTAGTTAATGGTTGATAAAACCAAAATGACATTTAAAAAGAATAGGAGGTAGTATTTGTTATATTTAAATTATATGTATACATAATGCATATTTAGTTCATAAATTGTGCATACTTGATATTGTTGGTGCATATTTAGTTCATAAGGATTGCATTTTCAATTCATACCAAATGCATTTCAATTCATATCAAGTGCATACTACTCGGTGCATATTTACTTCATACATAATCAGTGACGGATCTAGGAATTTCACCCTGGGGGCACGATTTTAAAAGTTATAACGAACTTTTAGTTTAAGTCGAAACGCTCATTTCATATAAAAATGGATATATCGATATGTGTACTATCAAGTTTTTAAGAACTTAGAATCCGTGTTACCCTCAAACTTTAAAAATAATAAATAAAATATTTGAGATTTTATTTATTTATAATTTAGTTAAATATCTATAATTTTTTAAAAAAATAAGTTTTTTTGGTTGAAAATTTGATTTAAATTGGACTTTTGCATCACATTACATAACATTTTTTTTATGAGATCTTATCTAATGAACATTTTCTTAAGAAAAAAATAAATATTAAAAATATATGATTACACAAAAAAAAAAAAAAAGAAAAAGTAAAAAAACAACATTGGAAAATATAACAATCCAACTAAATACTCGATTTTGTAAATCACCAAATTGATTTAAAATTAAGAAACCGAAAGNCAAAAAAATACATAATTAATGCATATTTCGTTTATTTCTTGTGCATATTTAGGTAATACACAATGCATATATTTTATGTATAAACATTATCCACTTTTCCCAAAAAAAAAAAATATTAAATATTAAATAAAAATATTAAAATATTACTTATGTTTTAATTAATTATAAATTTGACCCATGAACTAAATTGTAATATACCAAATCTTATAAAATTGTAATTACGTCCCTATATGTTATCAAATTAAAAAAAAAAATCATAATAACAAAAATTAGTTTTTCGGTTGTCCTCTGCCATGCAGATCATCGCCGCCACTTGAGAACCACTGGACATCGGACACCACCATCTCGTAGACGCTGGTTGATACATTACCGACGAGCCATTACATCAAAGGACATGACTAGACGCGATTTCCGATCAACTCTCACATTCTCCAGCGATTCCTTGGTGGGTTTTCCCACGGGATGTCGGACTTCGCTTCCCGAAGCAGTTGAATGTGGATGTTCGATGGATCGAAGTCGGACTTCGATGGCGAGCTTTGGTGTCTATTGGCTAGACTCCGACGGGCGACTGTTGTGCTTGACTGGTATTTGCAGCACGGTGGCGACGGAGGAATTTTGTTGTGGCAGGCGACGGAGGAACTCTGTGGTGGCAGGCGACGGAGGTGGAGGAGGAAGGGCAATGGGAGGTGGCCGACTGTTTTGTGGCTGAGAGGTGTCCGTGAGGTGGCCTGCTAGTATATGCAGCACTGCGGACGATGGGAGGTGGCCGACTGTTTTGTGTGTGCATGTGTGCGCAGAGAAAGTGTGTGCGTGGGTTTAGTGTGTGTTTTGTGGGTGAGAGAAAAATATTAGGATTGATGCTTGGGGTGGTTTCCACCGGTGAGTTGGATTATTGATAATGACTAGTTTATTCTTAATGAAGGGTCAAATACATATATTTGACTATGATATATCAATTTATTTACGATATTGCCATATATGAGTGACTGTCACATAGTCAAATTTGACTTAATCATGACCGTTAATTTGATGGTCCAGCCACATATGAATGACTGTCACATAGTCAAATTTGACTTAATTATGACCGTTAATTTGATGGTCCAATGATATTGATTTTTTTTTTTTTTTTTTTTTTTTTTTTTTTTTTTTTATTTCTTTCACTATTACCATTTCTCATTTGATTTCATTTCTATAAATTTGATTATAAATAATGTCGTTTAAGAATTATTTTAAAGTCAATGCCACATTTAAAACAAGCCCGTACAATGTTGTGGCCAAAGTACTAATCAGAAGTTAGATTAAAAGAAGAAAATTTATAAGACAGTTCTGCGCACTATATAAATAAACGCAGAATAGTAGAGAGCGTTCAGTTTCTCTTTTCCGTTTTTCCGTTTGATAGTTTGTAATATGGAAAGAGATTTTATGGGCTTGAATTTAAAGGATGGATCTGAATATCCGGGACGCTGCGAGAATTCTGGTGCAATTTCTTTTTCTTTTTAATTCATGCATAATTTACACGAAATGTTTGAGTGGTTTACGTTGAATTGATGTCTTCCTGCTGTAATTCTGTGAATTCTGATTTTGGAAAAAGTATTGTATTGAAGAATTAACAACTTGCTAAATTTCAGCTCTTCTTTATCACCCCTAAAGATGGATAAATGTTTAATGCGACAATTAGCAGAGGTTTAATACTTTGAATATTCTATGTTGAGGTGCTGAAATGAAATTATAACAAAGATTGTGAAAATCTCATGACCATTACTCCACACAGTGAAAGATACTGAAGAAAATTACTCTACTCTTCGAAATAAACACTTGTTGACATTTTATCTCTTTATCTTTCCATTCAGTGCCGGTAAGTCATTGAGTAAAGGAATCCCATGTTGAAGTTATTATATGATTGTACTTTTGCTTGAATTTTTAATGAAGTGGATGAACATATTCTCTCTCTCTCTCTCTCATGCGCTGTTATTTGTCATAATCCGGAAGAGAAAGCAGATGAAGATGCTGCCTCATCCAATAAGATTGCATCTCGGAAGAGAAGATATTCTATGAACTCTATCAGCTGCTTTGGTGTGGAATTAACTCCAGATACAATTGCTGTAGCTATGGTGTATTTTGTTCAGGGCGTTTTGGGACTTTCCAGGCTTGCAGTTAATTTCTACTTGAAAGATGATCTGCATCTTGATCCTGCAGAGGTATCGACAGTAAATGAATGAATTACACAATGTCTGGAGACATTTTCTGTTTTATACCAAATCAAGAACATAGACCTAGTTTCAACTTATCAGTTGATCTTGAAAATGGAAACTGAATTTACATTTTTATGTGATAACAAATATTTTGTTAATATCATGTTGTACAATATTGTTTAAATAGCCCTGTTTTTAGTTGAAGATGGATAAGGTTATGTCCATTGGCTTTAATCCATGTTTACTGTCAAATGTACTCTCAGTAACTGAGGATGTCCTTCTGGTACCTGTTACATTCACAATGTCTTTTGATCCCTTCATCAGACCATTATTCACTCTGTATTCAGTTGGGTGGCTCAGATCTTGAAAAATACTGCTGACTAATAATTGAAGTATATGAGCATGCTATTTATTTTAAATTATGCGTTTTAACTGGTGATAAATGGGCCTAGGTAGAAAATATCCCCAAAAGCTAGCTTAAAAGGAAAGGATGCCAAACCCGCACTTGTATACATTAACAGCTCAATAATAATTGATGTGGGTTAAACATAACTTTTAAGAAAGTTGGATTTGCTTTATGTTTTCTCTATTTCATTTCTTTTGTTTTGTTTTGTTTCCTGGGCAAAATACTTAAAGAACTTACAATTCTTTGTGGTTGAGTAGACGGCTGTGGTATCTGGTGTATCTTCTTTACCGTGGCTTGTCAAACCCTTGTATGGATTCATCAGGTGCACACGAACTACTCTTTTTATTTTGGTTTCTCTTTTATTTTATTTCTTTATTTATTTATTTTTAGGTGTAGAAAATGCCAATCTGTACATTTGGAAATTTTGTTGCAAATTCACACTTTATCTTTAATAGGATAACATTTTCTGTAACTAACAATGAATGTTAAATCAGTGATTCCTTTCCACTGTGTGGCTATCGAAGGAGGTCATATTTGGTATTGTCTGGAGTCTTGGGAGCTTTCTCGTGGAGTATGATGGCCACCATTGTCGATAGCAAGTACAGCGTTGCCTTGTGCATACTTCTAGGATCCCTTTCTGTAGCATTTTCAGATGTCGTAAGTGCTTACTACTGCAGTTTATGAACTTATCATGAAGGCATGTTTTCTTCTTGATCTCCCAGTGATGGTGATGAATACATTTCTTAATGAGTCAATAATATGATTATATGATATTCTCAAGAAATTTCTCATCTCCATTGAAAAGCAATGTTGTTGATTAAATTCGGGTGGTTGAGATCTGAAATAATATTGTCAACAACATGGTTTATTTGATTCACTTTCTATTAGTTCGTTCAATTAAGTTTTATTACTTTTCTCAGAACCTGAAGATATACCCTCTATGAGTAGGGTCTGATTTTACCTCGATTTTTCTTACTCTTGGTATTTTTAGTTTGAACTTACCTGCATGTTCTTAATTCATTGATTTCCAAATATTTTTGCAACTTATTTCAGTGTTGTGCAAACAAGAATTTCATTGAACTGACATTTCCTCAAAAATCAGCTTAAGCCTGCTTTCAAAAATCTATAACAAGTGCATTAGTATAAACAGTCAAGTGAAGCCTAGATGATCTTTATTTGTTATTTTATTATTGCACCTTCGAGCCAGCCTGTTGAGATAAAGGGTGCAGGTTGTCGACTCTATGGTTGTGGAGAGGGCCCGTGGCGAATCACAAAGCGTGTCTGGTTCTCTTCAGTCTTTATGCTGGGGTTCCTCTGCTTTTGGTGGCATTGTAAGCTCCTACTTCAGTGGCTCCTTGGTTGATGCTTATGGTGTGAGGTAAGCGAACTAGTCTACCTTTTTTTTTCTATTTTCTTTTTAATTTTTCTGCTATCTTGACTTGAGTGTTTCCAAAAACTTAAAAAAAGGTGATTATCAGCTTTTCGCTGGGGAACTCAAGCATAGATAATGTATGGAGTTATTTCCATACTAGTATCCAGCTTCTAATAGGGATATTGAAGATTGGAAGAAATGTGTTCTGTTAGTCTTTTAGATTTGTGTGTGGAAAAGTCCAAATTCTGTACACTCTGTATTTGACAGTATGGTTTGAAAGTCCAAATTTCTATATTTGACATAGATTCATATAGCTTATAGTAAATTCTGTAATTTGGGTGATTGTAATGGAGGTTTGTTTGTTAGTTGTCCAAAATTCCAGTTTCCATCATTAGAAAATGGATTTCATTAAATTTTGATTAAAAACTTCAAACCTAGATATAATTTAATTTTCCAGAGAAAAGATTGAAACTTGGAATATGTGGGTTGGAAACAATTATATAAACTAGCATATGTAGTCAAAATCTTATAGACCAGACCTCTGCTTAATAGACTCTTCTAGTAAGGCGGATAGTGTTCTAGATTCTGATTCTTTTCTTGATTTAATCACTATGTCTGTCAAAGTACTTTACAACATTTATATAAGGCTTGAATCGAACGCTCTCTTTTAAATTTATTCGAAAGCAGAAGCTTTTGCAAGTACGATCTCAGTCCCTGAACTTTTAAGTACTTGCAGGTTCGTCTTTGGATTAACGGCTTTGCTTCCCTTGATAACATCTGCTGTTGCAGTCCTTGTGAAAGAGCAGCCACTCCATGACTCGACTAAAAAACTTAATACTTTGTCAGACTCTGCAGGCCTTTTGGGATGCTCGAAATATAGCTTAATTCAATTGTGGGATGCTGTGAAGCAGCCCAATGTGTTTCTTCCTACCTTATTTATTTTCCTGTGGCAAGCAACACCACAATCTGATCATGCCATGTTTTATTTCATGTAGGTTGATCTCTAACTTTATACATCGTAGATAAATTAAAAAATGTACCCTTGAGTTTGACCTAGGTATAGGAACCCTATTTTTCTTACTTTTACGACTTCCGTTGCACAAAATATTTTTAAAATGTCATATGCGTAGAAATGTTACATTTAACCACTTAATAACACTTACCCAACCTTTTGTTTCACTCAAAATGTTACCTCTTTTTTTCTTCTTTTTCATTTTTTCTTTAATTATGCCAAACCTCAATTTTACTCTTTTTAATTATCATCCATACCCTATATAATTATTCTTTCATGTCTACTTTGTGGCGACTTCTAAGAATTTTTCGATTTCTAGTACAAATGAACTCAGATTTACTCCTGAGTTTCTGGGACGCGTGAAGCTTGTAACTTCCATTGCATCACTGGTTGGCGTTGGGATTTACAACGGGTTCTTGAAAGATGTTCGATTGAGGAAGATGTTTCTGGTGACTACTGTTATTGGTTCAGTTCTTGGGATGACTCAAGTACGGTTCCTTGCTTCTTGATGGCCAATTTGGATTATTTGCACCGTTTTCTTTTTGTATTTTGCATTTGAAGTGGGCATCCGTTATTTTTTAGGTTTTCCTCGTCAGTGGATTGAATCGGAAGTTTGGCATAAGTGATGAGTGGTTTGCAGTTGGCGACTCTTTGATCTTAACAGTTCTTGGACAGGTATCTCTGCATTTTCTTGATAATTATGCTACTTATGGCACACCAGTGTTGTGATTTAATTGAATGGCATGGTCCCCCAAAGTCGATCTTAAAATAAAAGATGAACTCAAAGAGTGCCGGAAGATAGGAAACTCTAAAAGACAAAAACAAGTTTAAAATCCCTCAAAACACTGAAAGAAAAGGTAAGAACCCTGAAAAAACTAAAATCCCCACGGAAATAAAAAAATCTCCAAGGAAATAAAAAAACTGAAAGGAAAGAACCTAACATATTCATGCTCTGCAATACCAGCTGGTCTTAAATCAAGCCTTTGCCATATTATATAGATATGATTACTAAACTCCCTCAAAGGATAACTTTAATTACAAAAATATGAATAAATATAATAAATATCAGTTGCAATTACAAACCTCTCCTTGAGTTTTGTACTTCATGTACATCCTCAAAATGTATACTGTGCTATAGTAATATATTTCATGGGAGTATCTCTAATTTTGCTGGATAATTCATATATATTTTCACGGAACCTCAGTTTCTCATCCCCTCCTATTTGTAATTTGCAACTTGTTTAGTTGGGTTGTGCTTGGTTAACGACGAGTCTGTTTTTTAGGTTTCGTTCATGCCTGTATTAGTATTAGCAGCAAAGCTATGCCCGGAAGGCATGGAGGCAACTCTTTTTGCAACCTTAATGTCGATTTCCAATGGTGGGAGTGTGCTTGGGGGTCTAATAGGAGCCGGCCTAACTCAGTTATTTGGAGTGACTAAGGATAAATTCGACAATTTAACTTGGCTGATAATCCTGTGCAATCTCAGTTCATTGCTGCCTTTGCCTCTACTCAGCCTCCTCCCTGAGAATACAGCAGATGGAGATGGTGATATTGAAATGAAATCTAACTGATGAGCTATTGAAGAAAAAAAAGTCTGAACTAAATCTTTAGCTTTGCAACTCTGTAGATTCTTGCTGCATTGACGCTTACTGGGCTGGAGACTGATTGGTTCCACACAAACTGTCAATTTACGAGTAATTAAAAAAAAAAAGAGTGAAACAAAAATCAGGTGTAAATATCAGATGGTGGTGTTGAACTGAGAAAGTTGGATCATATAGTCCAAGTTTATTTTGGGGAAATCTTGGATTGTATTTGAGAAGCTTGTTGGGGTTATGACATGTCACCAGCTTGTTTGGCATTGTTACTAAGTTTGTCTTCAGATTGAATAATCTTTGTTAATTTTCTATTGCTTGGCTGGGATTTTGGGTCCCATACGTCTCTGGGAGCACCAAAATTGCCTGAAACTCTTTGACACGCCTATTAGTGGATAATGATTCATACTAAAATTGGAAAACATGGAAATGTAAATTTAAGAGAGGATGCAGATATGGGATATAATGGTTAATGTTGTACCAGAATATTCCCAAAACAGAGCGCTTTTTGTAAAGTTACAAATAAATACCATATTTTTTTATTTTTTTATTTTTTTTCTTGGTAGTTGGTACATTTGCAACTGCTCCGAAGTTGCACTATCAAATATCTAATGAGCTCCCCACGTATTAATTAGCTCATGGAAATTCATGCAACACAATGTGAACAATAGCCCATATGCCTTGTTTTTCTTTGTTGAACCACTCTGGTCATCCATGGGAGGCATAAAAAAGCACAGACAATATAATCAAACACATCAAACAATTCACAAAACCGCTGTTGAGATTAGCGGTGAGCTTGGGTCGGTACGGCTCGGATATTGATAAATCTCCATAACCGTTCTGAAGTTCGGAGATCACTAAAATTCGATCTCAAGAACCGTACCAAAAAATCAATTCGGTCCGGTTCGGAGATTTTTATTTTTCGTTTCGGTTCGGCCCGGTTCAGTTTTCGGGACTATCAGAACGGTTTGGTTCGGCTTGGTTCGGTTCGGATATTTGGAGATTTCTTATCATTTTTAAATTTTTTTGAATGACCATCTAATTATATTTTATTTTTAAATGTTTTTTTTTTAAAATAAAAATCTAACATTCATCAATACTTCATCATACTAAACAATTAATTTTTAAATCAACTTTAGAAGTAACCCTAAATTTTAGTTAAGACTAAATTCAACTAACATTGAAAATTTAAAATTCAAACAAAATATAATATGGTTTTATATTAAAGTAATATTTATTTAACCTTCCATACCATGTTAGTTATAAAATAAACTAAGGCTTGTATCGACAACTTTAAGTAAAGCTTAATTTTTTTTTTTTAAACCATTAACCTTTCATTCCATTTTAATTTTTTTTTTTAAACAGGAGAAATTCAATTGTAGATCAAGTATTACTAAAAATGAAATGTAAGTGAATCTTAATTGTTATTACTATAATTTATTTGCATTTTAAAAATTCTCAAATTATATAGGATCAAAGTTGACATAAATTATATTAATAACACGCATCTATTTTTATAATTCGGTTCTTCGGTACGGTGCGGAACGGTTCGGATCGGTTCTCGGTACGGATATTTATGAAATACCCAGAACCGTACCAATTACTTTTTCAATTCGGTTCGGTTCGGAAAAAGTCAAACGGTCAACGAATATTTTTCGGTTCGGAGTGATTTCGGTTTGGTTTTCGGAACGGTTCGGAATTTTTCGAGTCCCATACTTAGCCCTAGTTGAGATATGAATGCTCTAATTTTCACACTTGCAAGAAATGTTGAGATAAATGCCAAAAATAAGAAAATTGAGTTCAAAATTTAATTAGTGGCACTGAATCTCTGTAGAGGCAAATGGAAGGGAAATTTTTTTCCCAATCTATTTTGAGTTTCTCTGCCATCAGAGGCGGATCTAGAAAATAAAGTTAGGGGGACTAGAACAGCTAACGAATAGAATTGTATTCATATGATTCGTGAAAACTCAAGTTCAACTCGCTAATATATTTAAACAAGCCAAGTTATAACAATTATTCAAGCTTATTTTTGGAATGTGGGGCTTATTATATGGGCCGACTTCGGGTTCACATTTTTGTTCGTTTATTAAATGGTCTAGCCGAGTCGACTCATTTATTAAATGAACACAAGCTTGAATATGAGGTATTTGACTTGACTCGGGTCGAATGATATTTCTAGAGGACTATATAATTTTCAATATCTCTATTTCTCTCATTTATTCTAATGTAGTTTCTATAGTTTTAAAAAATTATGCAGAGATTAAGTATAAACATAAATGAGTATAAACAAAATTCTACAGACTTATGTCTCCGCTTAACCAGATATACAGAAGACTGAATGTTATTATGTTATTAAAAATAAAATATATAAGAAAATATCATATTTGAAAATAATAAAATTATTAACTATAATTCATAAAAATGTGTGTCATTTTAAATAGTAAATACTCTATTATTCATTTGTTATATAATTATTTTTATAATTTCACCATAAGAATATTGATAATTTTTATGTACTAATTTTTTATTATAAAAATATTTTTTCAAGCACCCGTGTAGCATATATGTGTCATACTAATATATATTATAAAAGATTGTAGATATAATACTTACAACAATATGTACTTTGAATTTATTAGTTAACAGAAGAAAATAATAAATTGTAATAATTTTAGAAGTAGATATAACTTATAAGTTGAATATAATTTTTAATAATATATATATATATATATTAAAAGATTTTAAAAGTTTCGGGGGACATTTGCCCCCTAGCTACAACATAAATCCGCCCGTCTACCATTAAATCAACACAACAGATATGTGATGCAATAGTGTCCATATTATGCAGTCACATTTGAATAGGTATGGAAGGGTTTACATGTTGTTAGGCATGTTCGACTCCTTGGCCCTTGCATATGTGTAGTCACATTTGAGCAATTATAGAGCAATTTTTAAACAACAAAAAACCAGCTTACCAGGAGTTGGGATACATAATTAATGGAAAAGTTCATTTCAACCTACAAATTTCTCTCAAAGTTCTCACTATGGTCAAAGTCCGGCATAAATTCTGCCGTTTCGGAAAAAAAAAAAGTCTGGCAATTTTCTTTTTTTATTTATGGCTAATCGCAGGTTTGAACATGGTACGAAGCTTGTTCGGCAAACGACGATATTGATTCAAATGTCGATACTCATTTAAATATAATAAATGCACATAAATATATTGATTTAAATATTGATATAATGATTTAAATTTATTAAAAAGTTATGTTTACCAATCAATATTGATATAGATAAAACAAACAAGTGTAAAGTAATCTCACAAAATAAAGTAATAATCAACATAGAAATAAAGTTTATTTAGCATATAATATTTTTTTGTACATTTGCCTGTTTGAAAATATTATTCTAAAAATTATAAATATGAATGTGAACAATGATTTAAATCACAAAGTACATATGACATTAAAAGAATAAAATAATGGGCCATCTCTTAAATCAATATTAGCAAAAGGAAAAATTATGATAATTTATAATTATCAAATACTCTAATAGTAAATTACTAAATGTTGTAACTTGAATATAATATAATACTTAATTATTATACTAAGAGGCATAATAATTAGTAAATATCGTTTTAGATGCTTAATTTTATTGAAAAATATAATGACCTTGTTTGGTAATCAGCGGTTAGCCGTTAGCTGTTAGTGGATTGCATTAACTCCTTTGACTAGCGGATTGTGTTTGCTGTTTTGACCAGCTGATTGTGTTAGCGGTTTGCATAAGAGATCTCTTTCTGTACTTCATCTTCTACACTTACTCATTTAAGCATAAGAGGCTCTTCGTCGGAGACTCCCTCCGGTGTGAGAGTCTGCAGGTTCGAGGACGTTCAATCGGCGGTTAGCTCGAGATCCAGACAATTCCAGCCGGTCGGAGGTCGTTTGACACCAGGCTGCCCAACGGACTCTGAGGATCCTACGTTCACCAACATTGGACTCTAAGGATCAGACGATCTCCAACAACGGAAATCTACAACGTTTTATAGTCGGCAAATTATTAAACTGTACGCTCTCTACCTTAACATATAGATCTACTGTGCATATGTTATTTCGTAGATAAATTTGTAACTTGCACATTAGTCGCAATCATTATAGATTCCAACATTGTGTACAAGAACTTACGGTGCGTTTTAGAGCAAGAAGATGCGTATATGATAAAGTAGGTTATAAAGGTTGCTGTTGGGATTGTTAGATATGCTGTAAAAGTTTGGCTTTCAGATATGAACAATACCATTTTGATCTGGCAATCGTGTTTTAGTCAAAGTACTTATGTTTGCAGTTTATTTATTTATGTAATCATAACTCCATTATTTTACATTGTAGATAATATGGTTCGTCGTGTCGAACAGAAAGGTCATATTATCAGTTCCTTGTAAAATATAAATTTATTGTTCACAGTTTAGACAGGCAGTGAGACCCCTATTGAAAAAGACTGTGTTGTACCCTTGATTCAGGTGATCTTTGACTGTTGGATTACACTAGTACTCATGATAAGTATTGAACGGACCGCAGAAGGATAAGATTATAAGATTTACTGATCGATGTTATAATCTATACCTTCAATGATTGATGCGCTCTCTTGAGTTGTAAGATAATATAAAATGGGCATATATAATCATTACTTATTTATTTGATATAGCAAGGGTGATTCCTATTCCGTTAGGATGACATACTCGCTATTTTGGTAAGTAAGAGTGTGTATATGATGTGCCATTATAAATTATTTACAGTCACTGTGTTCCAGTGCGTTGGGTTGATGACATCCCAGAAATGAGCTCTGGAAGGAATATTATGTCAAACCCTGCAGGTGGATAATTCCGACATAATGATTAATGAATTGAGTGGTACTAATTTCGGAAATGAAGAAGTCAATTTAATTTAATTATCAGTAATTAAATTAATTGACTGATGCTGTATCTTAAACATGGAGAGGTAAATCTGTCAATTAGATTAATATTATTTAATCATTTGGAGACTTGATTTATTGAATAAATTGGAGCTAAATGGGGAGAACAATAATATTACTCTAGTGGAAATGTTTTATTATTTAATTCTATTTAGATTAAGAAATTAATTTTATTCCATAATTAATATTCCATTAAAAGAGAAATATTCCTTCTAGAATGTTACCCTCGGTTAGGAGACTAAGAAGTTTTCTAGAATGTGATGATTAGTAGGAGGAATTCTATCATAGGTTGGAAAGATAGATGGAATGGAATTAGGAATCCTTAGCCTAATGGAATGAGCCCATATTTACCACCTCCTTAAGGTCTCTAATGTAGTCTATAAATACACCATATCTTGAACTCATTCCCAACTATTCCACACGCATGAAACAAGGATTCCTAGGGGAAGAAGGAGTTTTTGTGTGTTCTATATATTGAGAGTTCGATAGATCCGAAAAATGGCCCACCAAGATTTTTCAGTAGGTGTCTAGATCATACATTAGAAGATCTTAAGGTTAGATAGAT